CCAACCAACCAGACAAACAAACAAACAAAAATCTCTCAGCTAAATGTGGCATATACCTATCATTTGAGCATTTGGAAAGCTGGAGGCTTTTGAATTTGAAGCTAACCTGGGCTATATAGCAAGACCCTGTCTTAAAAAACCAAAACAAATAACTCTACGATTCTATGTATAGGCCAGCTAAGTCAATACCCTGGCTTTAAATGACTTCTGTATTCTGAACACACTCAGTTTTATATGCTTGGGTTGTTTTCAGACAGGTTGTTGCGCTTTTGCCTAGAATCACCTTAACTCCTGAGCTCAAGTGATTTGCCTTTGTCAGCCTCCCACAAGTGCAGGCCACTGCATCAGGATCATACAAGGAAATGCTCCCTCACCTCTAGTACACGCATGCACGCACGCACGCACGCACGCACATATTTTGAGACAAGGTCTCATATAGTTCGGTCTGTCTCATTCACTGTCTTTGCAATATATATTTCAAAGACTTAGTTTTCTTTTAGTTACCTGTATGTGTGTAGGTGTGGGGTGAGGGTTACATGTGTGTGCAGGTACCTGTAGAGGCCAGAGTCATTGGATCCCAGAGGTACTGGGCCAGAGGATGATGTTGGGACTCTTCAGCCAATCCCCATCTAATTTTTTTGTTTGTTTTTCGAGACAGGGTTTCTCTGTGTAGCTTTGTGCCTTTCCTGGAACTCACTTGGTGGCCCAGGCTGGCCTCAAACTCACAGAGATCTGCCTGGCTCTGCCTCCCAAGTGCTGGGATTAAAGGCGTGTGCCACCACCGCCCGGCTCCCATCTAATTTTTTAAAGATGAATTTGTTTTATGTATATAACTGTTTTGCCAGTATGTATGTCTGTACACCATGGGTGTGCCTGGTGCCCTTGGAAGTCAAAAGAGGGCATTGGATTCTCTGGAGTTATGGATGATTGTGAGCTGCCATGTGGGTTCTATGAATTGAATCCAGGTCCTCTGTAAGAACAAGGAGTGCTCTTAACCACTGAGCTGTCTCTCCAGCCCCTAAAGATTGTGTGTGTGTGTGGTTTTTTTTTTTAAACACTCTGTAGGCACCCACAGGTGCATGCACATAAATTCCACCCCACACCCACACACATAATTAAAAGTTAACTAAGTCTTTGAAGCATATACTGCAAAAATAGTGACTTTGAAGCAGACTGAGCTATATGAGACCTCGTCTTAAAAAACAAAACAAA